TCATGAATTCCATCATCAGCAAGTGAGGAGAAACAGAGAGACAGCTGCTGGCAGACCCGCCAGTGCTGAGATGACGCGACCTTTCAAGTGTGGAGAAGATGGGCTCAGATGCCTGTGCTGTTGTGTCGTGCCTGTTTAATGTGAACGCCACCATCTAGTTTTTCCACACAGGTGCTCTCTATGGGGAATTGGAGCAGTCTTCCTTTGTGTCTTCAGTGGTGAATGGACGTTCATTTAATGCTTAGCTAGGACATTCTGGGGCTAAGAAATAGTTCTCAAAGTGAAGATAACTTGGCCCATTTTAGGACTCAAACCACATGTTACATACACCCAACTAAGGTCAGTAGCCCTGACAAGTGGAATTAGTCTTGCACAGATTGTCCATGAAATCCCCGGTAACACTGGAGGGTTTCTACAGTGCAGACTGGTCTCACCACTGTCCTTTTGTGTGGAAATCGGGATAGACGTAGTCTAGTACTTACCGTTCTATTTATACTCGTTATTGTTTAATTATATTCTTTCTAATCAGCAAAATGTGGGTAAATTATAATGATTCTATTTGTTAAGTACTATGCAGTAAATAAAGCACATTTAAAGTTTTTTAAAGAGTATAATATCCTTAAATCTAGTTTTGCAAAATCTGCCCAACTAGACTGACATAAAAGTGGTTATGGATGTTCACTATATTTATTTGGAAGATACTAAATTTCCATAAAAACCTATCCTACGGCCACATGTAATTGCAAGTATAATCAGCAAACCAATAACCACATTTAAGAGAAACCCTGAATTAAAATAGTCGCCCTAGAACACAACTTGGCCTTTACTCTATAAATGACGAGAGTATTAATCTAAACCAAATGTGGCAAGGTCACATTTTTGAGAAAGGAATGTAGATTATAATACTAAAAATATTTATTAAAAATATGCATGTAATGAATTTATGGCTGCAGGCATCTTTTCTACCTCATTAAAGTCTTTATAGGAGGTGTCAGTTAGCAACAAAGCTTATTTTCAAGTTTTCTAGCCAAACATTCCTGTAACAGTTAAGAGAGATGAGATGTGACAAGGAAGCAGTGTTCAAAATATGGTTGCTTGCCAGTGTGATGAATATTCTAAGATTAAATGTTTTGCTTTTATATAAACTGGCAGCCAGTTAATGAATCTTTTCAAGGTTCTTAGGAGAATTCTTTGTGCATTGTGTGTGACTGAGGAAGAGACGGCAGTAATATATTTTGAAAAGAGGAAAGTGTAAGATAATAATGGAGATTCTCCCAAGAAAAATAGGATATTTAGGAACTTTAGTAATGGTAAACAATGAAAACGTATTTTCCTGAAAACCTATTTACAATGAGGTACATAGATTATATAACACAGGAAAATACTCGAGTTTTCCTGAAACTCTCTTCAAGTCACACTCAGCTGGGAGCCCCTCAGGAAGCAGTGGTGAGGATGAAGAGGATGGAAAGCAGGGGTTGGTGC